TCTCCCCCTCGGACTGCAGTAATTTGGCCCCTAGAGTGGTTGTCTCTTCCACCCAGGGAATCTGCGCAGGTGCAGGCGAAGGGTCCCACCCATCATTTTCTTCCCGGGGCTGGCACACTTCTTGGCCCAGAGTGTTTTGAAAGAACGAAGGGCCAACTCAAGTGCTCTAAAAAGTAAAACTTCTAATTGTTTTAAGACAATGATTTATTTTGAACCCACAATGGTGTTTTCCCGCTTATGCACTTTCAAGCTCACTGGGTTATACTCTGAAATACCTTTTATTTTCTACAGATCTACATCATCCTCAAAGGATGGAGATCTGTCACCGCTAAGTATAAACGAACACCTGGTTTCAAAATCAATTCCCTCAGATGAAAGAAAGAGGAATGAGGCACCTAAAAGGCCCCAGACACAGTTAAATCCTTTATGAACATTTTCTCATGGAATTTGCATCTCATGGAATTTGTGAAGTAGGTGTCATCAGGCCCATTGTACAGATTAGGAAATGGAAGTCCATCAACCTAAGTCACACGTCCAAGTCCACCAAGATGGAAGATAGAAATTCTTGGCAATTCAACTCAGGCTTGCATTTGTGGAATGATTCTGCCACTTGCAAGTGTGGCTACTTGGAAAGAAGCAACATTCATCAGTCTGTATAAAATATGGCATTGACAGCGCCTTGTACATATGCAGTAGGGGACTTACATATTCAGCTGTTGAATGAATACAAAACATTGCACAACATTATCTTATATCCCTATGCACAATGTGTACAGACACACATAATTTCAAGTCTGTACATACATACACAATGAAAAAGAGATTTATTGAACCATATGGGAGGGGGGAAAAAAACCCTGACTCAAATTTCTGCCAAGTCTGTAAGTTTAGAAATGGTAAGGTAATTCCATTTACCATATGGGAGGGGGAAAAAAACCCTGACTCAAATTTCTGTCAAGTCTGTAAGTTTAGAAATGGTAAGGTAATTCCATTTACTTTTAGTGGATTGTTAAAAATTTCCTTACATTGTTGGATAGTTCCTTTTCTCTCAGGTAGATCTGGAATCTGAGGGCAGATGACCCCACAGAGAGCAACATAAAAACATTTTTGAAATACAATGAAATGGTTCCGAACCACCATGCTCTCATGTGACAGCTCCATTTTCCGCCTGGTCTACCGTCAGCTCTGCTCTGGGATGTTGGCATCTGTCTCACCAAGGTCCACATGACTCAGTGTGTGTGGGGATGTAGGCAAATAGATCATCTATTACACACTAGCGGAGGAAGGACTGTGATAATGGGTGAATGACACTTGTACAATAGGTTGGTAAAGAACTCGCTCCTTTCATTGCCTTCAAAGAAGCCCAGCCAGCCCACAGAGGCTACTCTGGTATAGGGTGACCTTCCTTAACAAATATAGCACAGTGCTTATAAACCCAGATTCCACAGCCAGAATGCCTGTGGGCAAAAGCTAGTCAATGACTGTGTGAATGAACAATGGACCTCAGTGAATACTCTGCATCACACTGAACAGTCCCTTTACTCCTGTTCGACCAGGGCTGCTGCTGCTACTATTACTACTACTACTGTTACGACTGGGACTACTACACTTCCTCCTCCTTCCCCCTTCCTCCTCTTTCTACCTCTCCTCCCCCTCCTTCCTCGTCTTCATTTGCATTTTGTTACGTTTGTTACTATTTGTGTCAAAATGATACAGAGGAATAGTTCCAAGAATCAAATTGTGCTGAAAGTTTTGTTACAATATAGCGACAATCCCTATCACTTTCTCCTTGATTTCTCCCTCTCCGTCCATTTATCTCACCCAGGCTATAATTTTGGTATTTAGCTCCTTATCTTGAAATGACTGATGTACAGGACTCCTTGACTTTTCAATTTCCGGCTCTATCTGCTGGCTTCCCACTATGGAAGATGAGTATGTAGCAGTCTTTCCTTCGTGTGTCCCCACAAGACACAGTCATCTTCCCATTTCCTCACTTCATCTAATGGGGTATTATTGTATTTTTGGTTAGGTCAATTTTTAGGGGTTAGGTGATTATGATTAAGCATGCTACGCAGAGATGATTCATGTAGTAAATTGTATGATATGCAATGTCCTGTCCAACACTTTCATTCCCTGGAGTTAAAAATTATCTTCTATTTATTGCTGAGTTTTTTCCCTGAACTTCTCATTTATTCAACTTCAGATTCTTTGCCAAATAAATAAATATCTCAAGGCAGCCAGATGTCTTAGGAATTCTATCAGCTCGCTCTTCCTGAAGAAGTCTCTCCCAGGGACTTCTGATCTGACTCCAATCAGAACTGGTCATGGTCTACACCGCAGGCACAGCTGACATCCTTGACCCACCCATCATCCGGAAGATTTCCTTTGTCTCTCTCTTCTTTGCTGGAGCTCCAGCTTTCCGTATTCCATTTCTTCCTCCTTGATTTAGTCATTCATTTTAGTGGAGTCCATGTCATTTTCTAACAGCTACTTTAGAAAAGGTATATGAGAAGTATATTTTTTGAGACCTTGAACTTGTGAAAACGTACATCTCACATTTGATCGATAAGCATGTTTCCACTGCCTTCTGGTGTTTGATAATCCCAAACTATTGTTCTATAGTGCAACCTTATTGGATCCAAAGTTTGTTTTGATGTATGTCTGTTTCTAGTCACTGTATCCTTGGTGGACCCTTCAGTCTGGAAATTCATATATTTCAGGTCCAGGAGATTTGCTTTACTTCATTGATGATTTCTTCCCCTATGTTTCTGTTTTCTCACTTTTCTTTCTTCCCTCTCTCCCTCCCTCCCTCCCTCCCTTCCTTCCTTCCTTCCTTCCTTCCTTCCCTTCTATCTCTCTCTCCCTCTTCCTTCCTTCTCTCTCTCTCTGATACTGAACTTACTGTACTGGTCCTCTAATTTTCTTATATTTTCTTTTTGTCTTTTTATTCTACTGTGCACAGGATATCTTCAAGCTTTATCTTCCAACACATTTATCTTTTGAATTTTTCATTTCTACATTCATATTTTTAATTTATAAGAGCTCTGATCTGATGTTTGTCCTTTGAATTTTAAATACACATAGTACTTCTTATTTTACGATTGCAAAAATCTTTTCATCCCGCTGAAAATACTGATCATAGCTCTTTTGATAGTGTCTTCTCCTGGCAGAGTCTCTGTTTATTCCAAGCCTTTTTTCTTTTTCCATTTGACTGCGTGGCTCTCACTCTCCATGTTAGAAGATTTCTCTGGATGTCTGATAATCTTTAGTTGTCACTAACTTAGTTGGGAGCTTATAACAAATGAGCAGGGCTTGCTGACCCTGAACTACACTCCAAGGGTCTTGGGGAACTTCCGATGTCTAAATCTCTTTCCTCTTGGCTCAGCCAAACCCCCACTGAAATCATTCAGGTGTCCATTCAGGAGGAGGAAGGCCTGAGCCCAGCTGGAAGTGGGGAGGGTGTGTTATCTGAGCATCTGGTATGGATGTGTCTACGTAGTGGTGCTATTTTCAGTACCATATCCCAACTCAAGAGGCTTGATGTCTTTCAGTCCAGACACTCTCTATTTTACTCTCCTGAGGGAACAAACCTTCAGTCTTCTGCTTGGAAGAGGAAGGGACAGCCATCCAGTTATTCAGGATGGGTAAGCAGATTGGGGGTTCTCAGTACATCTTAAAAGGCTTTCAAACAATGAACCTCATTTTAGCCCCTCTTTTACCCCCTCTTCCGCCTTCCATCGATACTGATAACTCCCCATTCCTGAGCCTCGCGGGGGATTCTTTAGTGCCTATCAATTCATGGTTCTTCCCAGGGACAACTCAAAATTCAGTTTCTGGCATCCTAAGCCATTTACTACTCCATCTTCTTTCTAATCCCCCTCCCCACCATGTTTTGCTATAGTCTCCTCTTTAGTTTTCCCCATCCTTGTGAATTTACCATTTTTCAAACCCTCCTTACTGTCAATTTATGGAGATTTTAGAAAGGAGAAACCGTAAGTGTGTGTGTGCTTCGTCTACCGTCTTTACTCTCAAGCGCAAGTTCTTGTCTTTCCCAAGTCCTCCAAAACTGTATAAGTTAGAAGAAGATCCACTAGGCACAGTGCAAGACGATGGGTGAACAGATGTGGAGCTACTCACGCTGGCCCCCTCCTCTGTGGTCAGAGATAGGACTTTATTAACGAAACCATTGCTTTCTTTCTTTTTTTTTTTTTTTTGCGGTACGCGGGCCTCTCACTGCTGTGGCCTCTCCCGTTGCGGAGCACAGGCTCCGGACGCGCAGGCTCAGCGGCCATGGCTTACAGGCCCAGCCACTCCGCGGCATGTGAGATCCTCCTGGACCGGGGCACGAACCCGTGTCCCCTGCATCGGCAGGTGGACTGTCAACCACTACGCCACCAGGGAAGCCCAAACCATTGCTTTCTGAAGCCTCTCGCTGGCCTCCTGCCTCTGCAGTCAAACTTGCCTTGCTCACCAGGTTGGATGTGGTGGTGCTGTGCACAGGCAGGGAGAAGCAAAGGCCCTGAGGAAGCAGCAGAAACTCAGAGCTTATATCCAAAGCCCAGAGCCAGCACTGAAGCTTCCCAAGAGGAAGAAATCCTCCATGATACACAGCACTGATTTCAAAATAAGGAAAGGAATAGAGGAGAATCCCTCACATTCCCATCTCATGCCACTGTGACTTTTCTAACCTGACGCTAGAGGGACAGAACATTCCAGCCTCCCAAAGACACACCAGAATGGAGAAGCAAAGGCCGACCACCAGCCACGTCTCTAAGCAGTGGGGTACCAAGAGAGGAGGTTACACAGGCAGTGGGAGTGTTCCACCTCGATGCACGTGACAAGGGAGTAGGTAGAGAAGGTAAAAGCAATAAAGCTGTTCTGCTTTTTATGATCTCCATGTGCTGCCACTTCTCAAGAATGTCAGTGAGAAAATACTCTCGATGGCTGCAGACTCCTCCCAGCACACCCTCCCCCCAGCATCCCTCCAGCCGCCTGGTTACCTGTGGATGATGTGATACCTCTGCAGATACTCCAGGGCCAGGGCCAGCTCGCAGATGTAGAGCTTCACGGCCCCCTCTGTGAAATGTACATTCTGTTGCAGGTGGTAACGTAGATCCCCTCCCAGCAGTAGGTCCACGACCATGAACATGTCCTCCTCGTCCTGGAAGGAGTACCTAGGAGCACCGAGGGGCAGAGAAAGTTAGGGATGGAGATGACTCCAATGCCCTCAAGACCGATGCCCCCATTTTACAGAAGAGCAAACTGAGGCTCAGAGAGAGGCACTGATGCTGCCCAAATTACAGTGTTCTATGACAGAGCACCAGTCCTCTGGCTGACAAATGGCACTTGAACCAACACTGGACTCCAACAGGTTACTTTGGTTTTAGTATATGTTTTAATTAGATGTTGTCGGGACTTAAGTAGCGCGTCTCCAAAGCTGCAGCCCCCTCTCCACTCATTCCCCTGTCCTCCCCACACGTGCCGCTCCCTACAAGGATCTTGTTTCTGCAGCCTTTGAAGGCAGTGATGCTCTGGCAAGACACATCCAGGCTTTAAGGGAACTGGCGGTTTCTACTCACGTTGCTTCTCAGAACCCGGCCAGAGCCTAAGCCCTATGGAGAGGCCACGAGAAGGAAAACCAAGGCGCTCTGTTCAAGAGCCCCAGCTGAGCACTCAGTGACAGCCAGCGCCAACCAGTAGCCGTGAGAGTGAACCACCTTGGGAATTTGGATATTCTGCTGCAGTCCCAGCTGACATCACATGGAGCAGAAGAGCTGCCCCGATAAGCCCAGTCAACTTACAGAACATGAGATAATGAGATGGTTGTATTTTGAGCCACTAAGGTTTTGAGTGTCTTTTCCCCCCAAAGCAACAGAAGTTGCACTTAGGCCTTTTAAGGGCTGAAGCACCAACATAAAAACCCTGAGAACGGCGTTAAACAATTGTAAACTAGAATCACGCCATAAAATGTCGTCACGTTCCATACAGAACCACGAACTGTAATAAGGGCGTCACAGAATGACAGGATGTTGTCTTGGAGGCTTAGATCTGTGTCTCAGATCCTCGACTATTAGACCTGGGCCAGCCAGGCCATCCCCCTCGTTCGACAGAAGAGGGAAGAAGGGCCTCAGTGAGCCACCGTCAGGGTGAAAACAAGACAGACCCCCCCACTCCCACCGAGCTCTTACAACCACACACTGCTGAGATGCTGCTGTAACATGTACTTGCTGTGTTTCCCTGACCTGGGCATGCAGCCCTGAGGGGGGAGCCCGACTCGGCCACAGGAGAGGGGACAGACCATATGCTTACGGGATGAGGGATTCCAGGGGTGGAAGGAACCTTAAATGCCATCTAGTCCCACCCACCCTGTATTACAGAGACTGGGATCCAGAGACAGAAGAAATGGCTGCTCGAGTGTCACAGTTCTCCTTGTATGTCTCACCTGCTGTTTATACGGGTCGGGATCAAAGCAAGGAAGAGGGGGTGATATATTGTGACCCCTAACTGTAAATTTACCAGATGTTTACAGAGTACCTGTCCTGTGACAGGCATTGGGTGGTGTGCTGGGGACACTGGGACAAAGCAATTGTCCTCACTCTGAAGGGGCACACAGTCCCCTAGGAGAGAAGGGCTAAGTCAACAGTCAGTGGTCATGCAGGGGAACAGGGGCTCTAGAAATCTCTCTGGGGTGCAGTGGGCATGTGGAAGGAGGAAGTCAGCTCTCCAGCAACTGAGGTGGGTGGAAAGGTCTTTGCAGATGAAGGGTACTCTGGGTCTGGGACACACAGGGACTGTGACCCAGACAGAAGGACAGCATGAACCTTCTGGTGCTGGGAGTCCAGGACTCTGTAGGGTCTTGGGGACAGCACCTCCCATCCCCCCAGTTTCAGCATCTTAGCCACTGACAACCCAAGGGTGATGATGCAGACCAGCCTCTTCCATTCTCTTTCAGGCTCACTTCAGGGCTGGAGCAGTGGCTGCCTGCCCAGTCAGGAAAGAGGTGGTCCAGGGGCTTGTGGGGGTGCCCAGGGCCACCTGGAGGGCACCAGCTGGACTTTATATTTGCTTCAGGACAAGTATAAGCTGTCTAGTGCGTGATCACTGCCCCAATTGATGCACTGCAGGAGTTGGATGCTCGAGAAGAGGTTAAAAAATAAAGCTTGCCCAGGAGCCTTGCCCAAGGTAGGCTCCCAGCCTGGAGGCACTGGCCTTTTCCAGACACTATTTTTTCTGGGTGGACTATCTGGGCCCATGCAAGGATGGAGAGAATCAAATAAAGATGCACTTGACACACTGGAGCATGGAGCAGGTAACCAAGGGCCTCTTTAGCGAACTCTGTAAAAGCCACGCTTCAATCTGTCTTTCAACATGGTCATAGCCATCTGTATTAACCTTTTCTCTTTCATGGGAATTTTAAAATAAATGTATCTTGTTTCTTGAAAAACTCTGACTTTTGTTGGAATTATGTTTAATTTACAAATTAAAGAGAATTAATATTTTTACGATGCTGGAACTTTCCAACCTTTCCATGAACGTGAAATATCTATTTATTCTGGTCTTCTTTTTATGTTTGTCAATAAAGTTTTATAATTTTCTACTTAAGGGCCTGGCAGGTATGCATTTTTTTATGACTTTAACTTTTTATTCTATATTGGAGTCTAGCTGATTAACAACATTGTGATAGTTTCAGGTACACAGCAAAGCGACTCAGCCATACATGTACATGTACCCATTCTCCCCCAGACTCCCTTCCCATCCAGGCTGCCACATAACATTGAGCAGAGTATTCTGATATTTTAAAATAAATTTTATTGCTATTGGGAAGATAATCTTTTAAAGTAAGGTGCACTAAATGGTCATTGCTAGGGGAAAATACACTCCGGAATTGCTAACGTTTATCTTAAATCTCGCAGCTTGGCTGACTTCTTAGTTATTAGTTCTAATACCTTTCATATATTTTTTCCACTTATTATATGAAGATGATTATGTATTCTACAAAAAACTCCCATGTGTATACTCTTGCGATCCTTATGCTGTTTACTTTTTCTTGTTTTATTTTACTACCCAGGACCTCCAGTAAAACATTGATTATAAGAGGTGATGCTGGGCATTTTTATCTTGTTCTGGAATTTAGTAAACTGTTTCTCCATTAAGTAAATTGTTTGCTGTAGATATTTGATGGATATCATTTATCCAGTTAAGAAAGTTGCTTTCTAGACTGCTAAGAATTTTTATCGGATGGGTTCAAAGGTTTTATTTTTTTTACATTAAACTGTCTTTGCATTTCTAGTCTAAACATTACTTGATAAACACACATATATATATATGTATATCTATATACATATATATGTGTATCTGTGTATTATATATAACATATATAATAATAAATAAATATATAAGTATATATTTATAATATATATTTTAATTTATAACATATAATATATATAATATAATGTATAATAAATATATATAAGTATATTATATATAACATATACTATATATATGTGTGTGTGTATATATATATATATATATATATTTTTTTTTTTTTTTTCTTTACTGGGTTCAGGTTTATTCATTTAGGATTTTTGCATCAAACGTTCCAAGTGACACTGGCCTATATTTTCCTACCTTTGTCCTGACCCTGTTTTGGTATCATGGTAATACTGGCTTTGTATGATGAAGTGATTTTGTTTTGTCTATGCTCAAGAAGAGTGGGGCTTCCCTGGTGGCGCAGTGGTTGCGAATCTGCCTGCCAACGCAGGGGACACGGGTTCGAGCCCTGGTCTGGGAGGATCCCACATGCCGCGGAGCAACTGGGCCTGTGAGCCACAACTAGTGAGCCTGCACGTCTGGAGCCTGTGCTCCGCAACAAGAGAGGCCGCCATAGTGAAAGGCCCGCGCACCGCGATGAAGAGCGGCCCCCGCTCGCCTCAACTAGAGAAAGCCCTCGCACAGAAACGAAGACCCAACACAGCAAAAATTAATTAATTAATTAATAAACTCCTACCCCCAACATCTTCTTTAAAAAAAAAAAAAAGAAGTGTACAAGAGACATCATCTGCTTGTAGCAAGTCTGGTGTCAAAACGCCCTCCATTCCCCCACTTATGATTCACCTGGGACTCTCCCCCCTCACTTAAGGCACACCTGCTGCAGCCGTCTGATGATTCCTGCTCCCCTCTCAACAAAAGATGACAACATGACTAGAAAGTTTACGCGCGTCCTCTGGCCACTGGTGTTGGTTCATCAGGCCCCCTCAGAGTGCTCCTGGGGTCAGTGTGTGGATGAGGACCTTGCTCTAGGTGTGCTCGGCTAGAAGCTGTAACTGAGGCTGTCTAGATCCTGTGGCCCAAAATGAAGATAAGACCCATCTGTAGAGTGAAGCTGCAGAGAGTCAAGCAGGGCTGAAGGGCTGAAAACAGAGAGAGGCCCTGCTGGAGGTGAGGGCTCCAGCCTGGGCGGAAGAGCGGTCCGTCCCTGAACTTCCTATTTACATGGGCAATGACTGTACTTTTTGATTTAAGCTACTTAACACTGTGTTTCTGTTACTTGGAATTGAAAGAGTCATCTGATGCATCTTTCCACGTATTTGCTACTGGAGATAAGGGTTTAGATGCTCAGAAAGAAATGACAGGAATCAGCTGTAATACGCTCCTACAGACGCTCAGTTTGTATTCTAATAGTTGATGGACTATTGAAACGCTGTGTTAATGACCAGTGAGTTCTTGCACCCTCAATTCACAGCTAAACTGTCAAAGGGAATCTCATTCAGTATTCCATCAGAACTTTTTGGAGGAGCAACATGAATTTTCAGGGGAGAAACTTGCAGACCAGAATGAATTCTAAAGAGAAAATCCCAAATGCAAAGATAGCGATAATTTAGGCAATAACTCAGATTATGGATCTTTCTCGCTGCAGATCCATCGTCACCCTGGGCCATGGACCCTACATTCTCCAGGAGACTCAATGTTATTATCGGAGAACAGAGAATGACCTTGCATTGATCTCTCTGTAGTTTTGTGCCGTTCCACAGCTCTGTGCCATTGCCTCTTTTGCTTCTTATTGGACTGGAATTATAATTATGTTCTCATGATGCCGGTGCATATTGTCATGGAAATGATGGAGATCACAAATGAAAAACCTGCACTTGATTGCAGTAATGCTGACCATGGAGAA